CAGGGGAGCCAGTTATACCAGTCGCTGCCTGATGCATTGTAAATCACGGCAGTACATTTTTTTTTTTTTTTGGATGGGCCTTGAGTGTGCCTAATGCTGTTTTGAAACATCATCTAATGCCACTGGAGCTAGGGGATTTCAATAGAAGGGGGGCAGAGGGATAGGGAAAAACCTGTCCCTACAGATGCAATAATTCAGAGCTGATTCTGGATTGTCTGGACATGTGTTCTTTGGTAATGTATGCTGCTCTTGTTCAAAACCTAGAAAGCAGCAGGAGCTATGGGCTTCGTGGAATTTGAATAGAGATGAAACCAAAAAGCTTAGCGTGCTCTGTCTCCATGGCCTATCTCGGGGAAGTTATACCCCTGAGGCTTGGTCAGAAAACAGGGCAAAGTCTTCAGAGTGTCTGGGCAGAGGTAGTGCTGCCAGCTGCTGCTTTAACATGGAGCTTCTTCTTAGGGACAAATGATTGCTTCTCCTCTAAGGAGCAGGCAGCAAGGGGTAGCTGTTGGCACTGAATGAACCTTGAAATGTTACAATCATGACATTATAGAAGATCAAGGTCAGGAATTTTAGCCAGGTTTCCTAGGTAAAGGAGGTTTACACAGTTGTGTTGCCCTTGTCTGCTGGTTTCCCTGGGTTCCTCAGTAACTTTAGAAGTTGTAGGACAGTTTCAGGTAAATTTTACAGAATTCAAAAGCCTTAAAGGTGCTTTGTTCCCGCTGAAAATGAATAGGTGGATAAAGACCGTGAATTGCTCCACAGAAGGGAAGTCTTTGACAGTTCAGTTGTGTTCTTAGTGGCAAACCCACAAGGGAGAAATTTTGAATGCCCCAAGCACAAGAGAAAAGGCGGTGAGAGCTCATATCTTAGTTGATAATGGGATATCAGAAACATGAGACAAAAAGCTGCAGGTAAATATGAAGAACATTTTACTCCCTGGGGAACTATTTGGGCCTTTTAAAGGTTTGATGGATCATTTGTATTATTAAAGCCAGAGCTGGGATGCTTTCAGTTACAAACTCATGTGCATAACTACGGTGATTGCACAGATAATGAGTGACTTAGTAACACCAAATCTGATGTCTTCCTGATTTCTCTCTGAAAACAATCAATCAACAAACAACCTAAACCAACCAACCAAATAAATCCACCACACCAAAACAAATATTTGTCTTGGTGAAGTTAGTTTTGTGCAAAGATGTTAAACCAATAGCTTGGCTTGTCTGTCCCTAGTCAGAGTTCAATTTCTAGAGATACATTCAGCAGTCTTCCTCTTCTTTTTTTGGTAGCTCACCAGTGGAATTTAAACAATGGGTAACTAATGACAAGGCTTTTATTTCAATTGCTGATAATGGAACAATGCCTTCAACTATATTGTTGGAGGTATTTATTTTTTATTTTGAATAAGTGATGGAAATCATTTCTCTCTTAAACTAGTTGAAACAGTGGCTGTTCCTATGAATTCAATGCACAGAACTGCCTATGGGAGACTTGCAGATCAAAGAGGATATGGTTATGAAACATTAAAACTAACTGTAATATCCAAGTCAGAAAGTGTCAATGAACCTCTGGTGCTGGCAATGCAGGAGCTCTCAGAGCTGCGTGGTTTTGCGTCTTGCTTTGGAGCTGAGAATGGAGGAAATCCTTCCTCTCTTGAGAGTGCCAAAGGGATAATTTTGATGGATCTTAAAATTAAGAGGAGTGAATATTTGCAAGGAAGTAAGGTGTTCAGCTTCTCATGTTGCTTGACAAAACACAAGAGGATTTTTTTAGATATCCTTACTTAATTCAGTGGTATCATGATTTCCATATACTTACTCTGAGGACAGGACAGGTATTGATCTCTGACTCCCAATTTACTAAATCATCCTTTCATAGCTATCAAAACTTGTAAAGTTGATGATCCTGTTTTGACAACAGCAGTTGAACACAGCAGTTATAGCTTGAAAAAAAAATTACATCCAGCCATGAAGACACAACATAAACACTGGTGTCCAGACCTAAGAGTTTAACCTGATTTTAGGTGTTTTCTGGTATTTGCAGTATCAAATTGCAATAATTCCACTGAATAATTTACAAAACACTTGAAATATATCTAAAATACAAGAATAGCTGTCATTAGAATAGGGAGATTAAGAATCAAGGGAGCTGACTCTCATATCTAATACTGAAGCACAGGGAACTAGCAGTGGTCTTGCCATATTCATAAAACCAGAACACTTCTTACTGCTGGGCAAACACTGGGGAAAAGATTCTCTCCAGTTAACATAATGCCATTTATATTCCCACAGATATGACCAAGCTCACAAGATTACTTTGTGCTGTTTTGGTATGCATACTTTGACTTCATGTTAACTTACTGTGCTTTCTGGGAATTGCTATCTGGCAGGATGGCAGCCAACCAGGCAGCTTTGCTACAATCATACTGTATACAATCATACTCTGCATACAGTCATGCTGTAGCAACGAAATGGTGCTCACTGTGTTACCTACAGACATACAAGTGGTTATATAGGGTCGCATAAGAAAGTGCTTCATTGGGTAGACAGAGCAATGGTGACACCTCTGCTTGCCACTTGGGCCTTAGCGAAGGGCTAAAGGCCGAAAAACTATAAAGCGCTCCCCAGCCTCTGCGGAATAGAGGGAGGAGATGGTGTGCAGAAAGTCTTTGAGACAGGAGCAGGGAGTGATGAGAGTCCCTGGTTTTGGGGTGTGTGGTTTGCAGATTCACTACCAAGATAACTGTATCAGAAGCCAGAATGTATTTGGATGCCTCAGAGAGTTTGTGGGTGCATGTTTTACTTGACCTAGGAATTGAACATGGGAGGTTTTACTTTAGATGGTCAGATAATGTGGGTGCTCATGTGATTGTGAGTTCACTACCTGTTGTCACTTGTAAGTCAGTGATATCTCTGCTGGTGTACCTTCACTAATATGAGCAAGTTATGGTTTACTGGAATGGTTTTGCAAGTGGTAGTGAATATACCATCTGCTGCAGAGACAAGACTTGAACTTCTTTTTGTTATTGTGCTACCTGGTCCTCCTCTGAGTCAGATGGATGCTCTAGATAAAAAAAAAAAAAAAAAAGCCTAATCTTATCTGAGTTGTGGCTTCCTTGATTAGTATATCAGGGGAGCTGACGTAGTAATGACTTACATATCTGAATTCTAATGAGGCAGGTGCTGTCTGCCTAATGTGTACCAAAAGCCCCCGTGTCAACAGTGAGGGCAAATGATGTAATGCCACTTTACATCCACAACCATCCTGAGATCATGAACTCACTTCTAATGATCGGTTTGAAATAGTACTTTGTCATTACTATTCCATGAACAGATTTGCTAGTTAACTAGTTAACTAATCCCTTGGGCATGGTAGAGCCTTTGTTGGGCCAAAAACATAAAATCAGATGTTTTGACCACACTCCTAGTGGTATCTAACCTTGTAGTCATTTTTAACCATCTGTAGAACGATCATCTGAAAACCCAGTGCAGATGCAAAGATTGCAACAGGAGAAGGAGTGGGAGGCAGTAAACCAATAGGAGGGGAGTTCTGGCATGGATTCCCATGTGCCACTTAAATCTTTAGTCATGTCTTTCGAATTCTTTTAGCTGTTACTGTGAACGATAGGTTTGGGAGGCCTCAGAATTCTCTAGCCTTTCATGAGTAACTTGGGTAATTCTTTTAGGAAATATTATATTATTTTGAAGTAGTAAAATTCTGCAGAGACGGATATAAATGAGTCCATACAGATAATTGTGGTAAATTTCATGGATTTAGGAAAGAAGTTGCCTCTCTCCCCTCCCTGCTCTGTGTTTATATAGCTCGGTAGGTCTTTAGGTAGGGTGGAAAATTAATTTTCCCTCCTTCTCCCCCCTTTCTTCCCCATGCTACTATTTCTTTCTTGCTATTATTTATTTGAAGAACATTTGTGTTATAAGAAACACAGTTGTTACTGCTATTTATCCTGTAACATGAAAATAATGAATCAGAATGTAAAGCAATATTATATTTCGTAGTTTTGGGGTTAGTTGTTGAGGTTTTTTAATGTATCAGGTTATTTAATCAGAGGCATGGAGGCTTCTTCTAAACTATGTACACATTGTTTCTCTGCTACTGAAATATCAGTGCTAAGTAATTGCTGAAATATTTTTCATTTTTCTTTTTATCTTCCCTTGGCCTTCACTGACTTTGAAGTTTGGTTCAGGTCAGGTTGTACATTCATCTTTTAAAGTATCTGAAGTGATAACCTCAGCTTGTCCTGAAAGCTTACATTTCTGTCCAACTATAATTGGACTAAAAAGCTCTTCATGGTCTGTACCAAAATTATTAGAGGTACGAGTGATTTGGTTTTAGTGAAAAATAAGAGACCTGCATCCAGCACTGTGCAGACTTTGGAAGAATATATCTTAGGGGAAAAACAGCTCTTGGATTTTTGCTGCAACTGTCACTGGTCAGTTTGCTTTCTAACAAAATCTGATTTATGGATATGAAAACAGGACCCTTGAAAGCTGCCTGTCCAGTGAGAATAATTCATTAATTAGCACTTCTTCAGTCGAGATTGTGAGCAATATAACCTTATGTCCTAGAATTTCCTTTTTGTCCCCGGAGAGTCTAATCTGTATAACACATTTATGTCTCCACATATGGTTATATGCACCGGGGCAAAAAAAGTGTTATAAATACAAAATTATATATTTTGCAAAGATTTATGTTTTCTGCATCAGCATCATAATCTCTGTTTGGCAGATTTCTATCATCATTCTGCTGGAGAATTTTGCACTCTCCAAAATGTAGAGTGCATTAAGACCTTAATTTTGAATTGTGAGCTGTTTTCCTCAAAAAAATGTTTAGATGTCTTAGAGAACAGCCATGGTGGGACGGTTTTTGTTCATCTTCAGAACTGCTGAACTGCAAACTCAGAACAACTGACCCTTGAAGTGGGGAGCTCTGGATTTTTATTTTTATTTTTAATTTTTATGTTTTACTTTGTTTTACAGAAGGGAACCAGCATGGCTGACAGGCGTGCTGCTTCTCAGCAGAAGCACATAAAAAATGGAGGGGGAGCTTGCCTGGCCAAGAGACAGGTGGGAGGCAGACCTGGATTCTCTGTGAACAGGGGCACTTGAGGAGACAAGAAGGAGGAAAATATTTAACTGGCTTGAAACACTGACAAAACGTGGACTTCTGTGGAGGCAAGGCCAAGCTTTACAGGACTCTCGGACTCTGTAGCGCTTCTTAATAATAAAACAACTGGTTGAGAAATTCCTTTGCTGAGCCTAAGTACGACGTGTTTTAGGTTGGGGGGGTTTTTTGTGTATGTGCGATAGTGCCTGTAGGTGTTGAACTAGAATTACATTTAGGAGGAGTTCTGAAAAAATATAAGATAATAACTGAGTACAAAAGGGGAATCATGGATATACAAAGCTGCAGTTCAAAGCTCTGTGATAGCCAGGTCAGGAAGTAGTGTGATTCAGGAAAGGCTCTACATGAGGAACTTGGGCCTGGGTACGAGCAATGTTGATCCAGAGCTAGAAACAGTGACCCAGATGGTTTAAAGATGGTTTGCTTTGGATTCAGCTGACTCTTTTGGGAAGTTAGCTGTTATCCTGGGTCTGGGGCCTCTACCTTAGATATCACCGAAGAATTGTATCAATCTTTGATTCTGCAGCTCTTAATGGCGTAAATAATCTTGATTTTCAGAATAGCAAAAGTTGTGTTGTCTTCCACAGCAACTTGCGGGCACTTCTAGTCTTGCTGCATTCATGGAATGAAAACAATGTGATGCTGTGGTTCATTACAAGTTCTCATGTTATTGCTATGTTATTGTGGGCAAGTCATGATCCTCCTTTAAGAATGGAAGATATAGATACTAATGGGGAAGTTGAATCCAAATGTTAACATTACAGAGCCTATATTTAGGTACTGTATGTTCTTACTTAGTGCCTTACTAAGAGGGGACGTATGTCCTGTGTAATGAGCTCTGAGGAATGCATTGGACCTGTTCTCAATCTGATAGTATTTTATCATGAGGTTAGCTTTGATATCAGTGAAAATATTACTCACAATTTTTATCCTTTGAAGCAGAAGAATTAGGTTCTTGCATGTGGGAAGACCTTGAAATTGGTTGTAGCCTTCCCTTGTTCTGTGTAGCTTCACCTCTCAGCGATAGTATTGAGATACTGCTGGAGCTTAATTATAAAGCAGCCCTTTCAGTATCTGCTACTAAGATAATGAATTAGCTGCCAAAGCTCAGGTTTGTCAAGAATCACACCCTTTTTCTCTAATTAACAAAATGCCTTTGCAGACATAGACATATAAACTCAGTGCTAAAGCATTACGATAAGGCTATAATGATCATGCCCCAATTTCCAACAAATGAGTACTTTCTTCATGAACCTTTATTTCACCATTTAAGAAAGAAAAAGGTAGGAGGAGAGGATAAAAAGGGAAATTTTTTATGGAAAATAACTACATTAATTTTTCTGAGAAGTGTTTTTTGTAATAGTCAAGAGTTCAGAGATCTAGGTAAAGGCAACGCATTTGAGTTTCTTTCCTCAAAGAGTTATCGTGTGTCAGCTGTGTTGTGGCAACAGCCACTGCATATGTGCTGCTAGGCTATAGGAAGTGTAAGGTAAAGTGTGTTAGCATGAACCTCCAGGAGAAAGCTTTAAGCTAAATTATTCTGTCTCCTTTTGATAAGCTAAAAGCAACCACCTACCGTGTTGCTGCAGCATGCTGCAAAGTGTCATAATTCAGCCAGGATCCTGAGGTGGAACTGCCCTGCTAAAGGAATTAAAACCTGTAATAATTCTTCTTTGGTGCCAGTATCGTTTGCTTTCAAAACACTGGATTAAATGAAGAAAGTTTGGCTAGATCTAGTTGCCCTGTTAGAAAGAGTGATTATGCAATTTTAAAAGTATTTTGGGACCAGTGACTTGAGTTCTTAGTGCTGGTTATCTCTGCATTCACTGAAGTGCAAAGTCTAGCTTTGTAAATGGCATTTGTTTGACTGGGCAGTCAGCCCTGGCTTAATCCCTAACTCTGACTCTGTCCAAGGAAAGCTTGGCCTGAATTTACTTTAAGGAATGAATACATGCAATGATATGCTTGCACTCTACGTCCTGTTTCTTCATTCATACCAAGTGGGAAACTGAACAGTGTGTACACCAACTCCTGCCTGCTGTCCGACATGGAAGGAACAGGCTAGGGAATGCTGAGTCATGTCAGATCTCACCCTGGTAGGACACAGGTTTTGTGTAGTGTTGCTGGAATGATTTACCCCATTGCAACCAAATTAAAAATACCACTAAACTGACTGCTATCATCACCCCCTAGCCCTCATGTTTATTTGTATCCACATGTGTTTGTTTACAGAAAACTGTTTACATTGTGCTTAGTACCATTTCCAATGCCTTGTGATCAAGTCTCACCCACAGGTCACTTGATGCAAATCAGTGATCCAGGGGCCTGGGTCGAACATGCCTTTGTGCAGCACATCATTTTCTCCTTGATCTGTGACCTAGAGATCATATTGAAAATGCTATGATTTTAGAAGAGCTAAAATTGGGTAAAACTGATTTTGATATTTTCCAGAGGAAGAATTAATTGTTTCAGGAGTTTATCTCCAGCATTGCAGGAGAAAGGAAAGTAAAATTAAGGTGGTTGTTAGAAACTTTTATGTTTTCAGACCATCTTTGCTGGTTTCCTCTGCTCAAATTCAAACACTGTAAGATTCCAGGGAGTTTCAGTTTTGAAGATTTCACCCACACCACTTAGTTAACTCTTTGTCAAGGATTCAATTTCACGTTTGTCTAGGTTACTGTTAAGAAATATGTTCTTTGTCTTCAGTCCACTATATTTTTTTTTCAATTTCAATTCTGACCATTGGGTCCCTCCACCAGTGAGTAGGTTAGCTAGTCTTGCTCTTGCATTTCAAAACTGTTTTGGAAGGATTGCTGTTTTTCCAAGTCACTATGTTGTGCTGGCTGTGCAAACAGGAGGGAGCTGAAAGAGCTGTGATTTCCAGTATCATGAGGACTGTTCAAATCCTCTGTAAGATTTAAAGTTATAATCTTTCTCTCTCTGTCCTCATTCTCTTCTGGAGTTCTTTCCCCACCACAGTGTGGAAACTTCTTTTAAAAACCATGATCTTTAAATATGACAAGTCATTCAGAGGTAATGCCAGTTACTAGCTAGAACAAGCACATGCTGCTTAGTCATGAAGTGACACACATCCCAAGAGAATGAATGTTCCAGCTACTGGATTCCTGCATACTCTGTAAGAGAACTCTTCCAGTCTCTTGTAACTAAATATTTATCAAGTCAGAGAGAGAGAATTGCTTCCTCTCTCACTCAGCTATGTTGTCACTGAGCGCAGTTCATTTCTGTGCTTTAATGGTTGTGTAGTTAGTTATACAAAACTATATAAAGTTATTTAAACAGTTTACCTAATAGAGACTTACCCAACAGCCTGTGTTACACAGAGTTACAGACCCCTGGGTTAAATTCCATTTTCAGGGCCTGAAACATGATCTTCCATGGTAGCTGTAAATACTCTAACCACTAAGCTAATATGAGAAGCTAAGTGCCAAACATACAGGAAAAAAGAAGTCTTGGTTTGGATTTTGTGAACACTGTGTATAGCTTAGGGATGTTCAGAGATGACCTGCAGGCTCCAGTTGTCCTACTGAACGTGCTATAGCGAAGAGCCTGGCTGAAGGTTTCTGCTTTGGGACTTCAGGAGTTTGCTTCACTCAGTGCCATACCTATGGAGTGATGCTAGGATAGGTTTGCAGACATCAAATCATGAAGGTGTACCAATATGCAGAGTTAGAAAGCAGCTTTTGCAGAAATCTATAGTGCTTATAGTGGTGTTAGTCATCTAGTATCACTTGATGTTGTGACTTCATGTTTATATGTTATTAGTGATACAGGAATGGATTAGTTATGTGTGTCCCAGTATTGTCATTTTTGAATGAGAATCAAAAAATGTAAAATGGCCCTTGAAGTATTCATGAAAGTATCTGAGTTTCTTAGGGAATAAACAGATCTAAATAACTATTTGTAGACTTTTAGGTTCTTGTTCCTGAGAAAGATACACTTATTCTTGTTCCTAGATGCTTTTTGACTCATTTGAAAATGTGACTAGATAAAAGAATACATTTCAACTATAGATATAATCACAGTGAGCTTGTGGGACACTACCCTACCCTTTCTTCTCCAAAAGGAGGGATTTAGCAGTTGAGGTTTTTTGCTTTCAGGAGCATTTTCATAGACTCTGAAAGTCAGGAAAATAGATAGGCTTTGCAGCATAGACAGAAGTTCAGTAAAGCAATTGCTTTATTCCAGTCTTGGCAGGCAGTGTGAAGCTCAGCAACCTTTTGGAGAAAACCACCAGGCAGTATTTGTTTGCTACATGGAGCAATATAACCTGATAGATCCAAGAGCTGCACAGAATTCTCTAGAGAAAAAACAACTGCTACAATTCAGTTTGCTACTAGATAAGTAACCCCTAAAGATTCAAAACACAAACCTTTGATGCATCCGAAAACTATGTTCCTGTAACTAAGGAACTGCCCAACTGCGCAATAGTTTCATTGTCTGGATATGTTTAACGTGACGTGAAGGAAGGGGAAGAAGTTTTCAGGATTATACTTTTATCTGTACTACTAAGTTTAACTATTAATTTAGCATCTAGTTCAATTTAATTCCAGGTTCTCATTTGCTCAGTTACTTGGGGTAAATGCAAAGTAGATTTAATGGCATTGTTTCAGATGTGCTGAATTAAACCAGGATGTGAAATCAGGATGTGGCCTAAACCGTAGTAATTATAACGTATTTCTCCACAATTCTCTTTTCAGTGCTTATTTCAGTTTATGCTGACAAATATTGCATGTTTTCTCTACTTGTCTTTTTTCCACCAGATGTTTTGAAAAAAAGTATGGTTGATGTTTAGGCCTGATTTAATGATTTGAGTTTGGGAGGTTTTTTTCTTGTCTCAGCAACAGCAGAGTAGACTTAGGATAGAGTTAGGATACATGATTATGTGTGAAAATAAATCAGTTCAGTTACTCTTTTGGAAAGGTGCTGCATGCTGCTCCTTGATGTGTTTACACATTAATTTATCACAGTTTCTACCACAAAGGCTTGCAAGCGGACTGCACATCTGCACCTTCCTTCTCACAGCACTCTCAAGCAGTGGGATTGTGGAACCAAACTGCTGTAGTACATCAGTCGTCTCAGTTGCAAGGCAAAGCCAACACAGTTTTCAGCTGCAACTTCAAAGGGCCCTACAGCACCCTCAGTTTGCAGTATGTGCAGACAGGGGTCATGTCTGTAGTTGCAGTCTTTGGGAAGGGTCTTAGTGTCACTGCCTCTGAGCAGGGACAGCTTTCCTGGTGGTAGGCAGCAAGGTTGGGTGTTGCTGGGGAAGATGTTTGGGGAAGGGGGGATGATATTGTCTTGAACGAACAGCAAGCCTCTTGCGTGCAAGGCAAAACCTTACAAGCAGTGTTCCACCCCTGCTCTGCAGACCTCTGGGGAGAGGTCTGTGGCTCTGCTAGATCCAGGACAGCCTCCTGGGAACACCTCACATGCAGCCTGGCTGAAGGAGGGTCTGTACTGCATGGTAGAGGGAGCAGGTCTGGCAGAAACCTACCTAGTCAGGGCTTCCCCTACGTTTGGCCCACTGGGATCTCCTCCACCAGAAGTAATGGTCTTGTAAATGGTTTCTCCCCTGTGAGAAGGGCAAAGCACAGTGGCATCTCAACAGGGAGAATTTTCTTCTCCTGCCAGAGCGGGGAGAGAATAACAGGGGCCTGAACTGTTGATTCCATGTGAGCATGACAGGTGTTATAGGCATATGGCTCTGCTCTGCACTGGGTGTTTGGCCTGGTGAGTATGAAAGGTCTTACCTTCCCTGGTGGGATGCTTTGCATGCAGTGATGATGTAAGAGGTTCTACTGGGGCAGCCAAAACAACAAATTCAGCAGCACCTCATTTGAGACGTGTGTCCCGTCTTCCCAACATACCCAGCTCCACCAATGAAAGCAACTTCATCAGCAGTTTGTGACATAAGTCCAGTCCTGTGGCATTGCAACAGATTCAAGGCCTCAGTTCCCTTGAGTTCTCTGTTCTCAGTTTCCCAGACTCAGGTCTTCCCCAGTACTCAAGGCATCAGCCTTCAGGGTGCAAGGTGAAGCTTGTGACCACTTTGCCTTATCTGACTATGGAAGGGAGGGTAGTTTAGGCAATGTGAGGACTATGCTAGCAGGTCCATGAGGCAACACCAAAAGAGAGCTCAGGCTCCACACAGAAGAGTACTTCTGTTTTAGTGTGTCCTGGTATACTGGGTGCAGGGCATCCTCAGATAAGAAAGTTGAAGATGTCCCTGCTCGCTAGAGGGGCTTGGACTAGATGACCTGGGAAGGTTTATATTTGATATTAGAAAAAAATTATTTTCGTGGAAAGGATTGTAAAGCATTGGAACAGGCTGCCCAGGGAGGTGATAGTCACCATCCCTGAAAAAAATATGTGGATGTGGCACTTGAGGGCATGGTTTAATGGTGAACGTGGTGGTGGTACTAGGTTGATGGTTGGAGTTGATGACCATGAAGGTATTTTACAATCTTAGCATT